CCCTCGTCCTACCTCACGCGTTCGCCCAGTCCCGCCCATCTACACGCGATGTTCGGTCAGACCACGACCCCGGCTCCGAGTGGTGCCGGCTTTGGTGGCTTCGGTGCCGCTGGCACCCAAACGCCGCAAGCCGGCGGGTTCAACACGCCACGCGTGGCCACCAATACCGCCACCCCGGGGGCGCCACTCCAGACGACCTCCTTCTCTCTGGGGGCCGGGGCCGGGACGCCGTCTGGCGCGCCGGCCGGCGGCGGCTTTGGCGCAAGCACCAGCGGCTTCGGAACGACCACCGGCGGCTTCGGCACGAATACCGGCGGCTTCGGCACGACCACCGGCGGCTTCGGTGCGACACCAAACAGCGCGCCGATCGGCGGCCAGGCTGCCAAGCCGGGAAGCTTCGGCTTCGGCTCCAACACCGGCTTCGGCACGTCCACCACCGGGTCGGGCTTCGGCACGTCCACCACCGGATCGGGCTTCGGCACGTCCACCACCGGATCGGGCTTCGGCTCGTCCACCACCGGGTCGGGCTTCGGCTCGTCCACCACCGGGTCGGGCTTCGGCGCCAACACGTCTGGCTTTGGCTCGGGCTTCTTTGGTGGTGGTGGTGGTGGTGGTGGTGCTCAGCCGGCGGCCACTGCTGCCCCTCAACCCGCTGGGCCGCAGCTTCTCCCGATGTCCTCGGCCGGGTATGGATTGGCGGTTCCAGCTCCGGCCGGGGCCACCGGCCCAGACGCCTTCTCTGGCTTCGGCCCGAGCCCGGACGGGTCGGCTGGCTTCGGCTGGACCCCGGCGCAGGTGATTCAGGAGCTCCAGCAGGCGTATGACTCCACGTCGCCTGCCTGTCGCTTTGTGGTACGGCGCATTCGTGCTCTGTTGCTCCTGTCTATCTCTCTATCTCTCTCCTTCCCTCGCTCTCCCCCCCCCCCCCCACCTATCTCCTTCTTCCTTTGAGTCTTTTTTTTTTCATCGCACCCAAACGCACCTTGTGCCTTACAGCACCGGCCTGCCACTGACCTGGACCCCCATACAAAGCACATGTTCTACAATAAGCTTTCGCCGGAAGCCGCGCAATCGGTCCGCCAACGCCCGGACATAATCCAACGCCCGGCCGACGTCCATCCCACCATCTGGGAGCAAGCCGTCAGCAATAACCCCGACTCGGCCAATTTGGTCCCAGTGCAAGCGCGCGGCATCGGAGACCTGAAGCTTCGTGTGGAAGCCCAGCGGGACCGGTGTGATGACCAACTTTCCATGCTGGCCGTGCTGGAGGAGGTCCTGTCCGACGCGCACCGGACGCACGAGACCGAGACCCTGGTTCGGCTGGATGCGGCCCGGCTCCGGCACCTGGAGCTTGTCCACCGGCTGATCCGTGTTATGAAGTCTCTCGAGGTCCTCCGGTCCAAGGGTCTGGCTATTACCCCGGCCGAGGAGGGACTACGTGCGAAGCTGGAGCAGATGCAACGACACCTGGATGATCCGGCGGATGTGCGTCAGTTCTCCCGAATTTGCCCTCCCCTTTGCTCTATCCGTCCATCCAGCCCCCTCCCTCCCTCCCTCTCTCTTCCACTCTAACGTCCCGATGCACAGTTCAAGAGCCGCCTCAATGAGCTCAGTGCCCAGGTGAATGTCCGCAAGCAGCAGATGCTCATGGCCGGCGGGCGTCCCAGCCCCAGCACCGGATCGCACCATGGCTCTGGCGGTGGCGATGGTCAGGGCAGCGCCTCCGGCAGCACTCCGTCCGATGCCGACGAGCGCGCGATGGCCGAAATCCAGACGGTCCTCGGCGAGCAGCAGAAGGCTCTCCGGTACTTGGCGCGCACGGTCAACGAAGCGGCCGAGGATGTGCACATCCTGGCTCTCAACTCTGGCATCACCTTCCCCGAGGAGGATCCGATCCCCTCGTCGTTGGCTTCGCTGCGTGCTCGCACGGCCACTGGCACCGCTGCCTCGGACAGCATCCTCTCGCTGTCGAAGACAGCGGCTCTCACGGCCGCGGCCACCGCCGGGTCCAGCGCGAGCACCGCCGCTGCCGCGCCGAATGCCGCTGCCCCGGCCGCCGCCGCCCCAGCCGCCAGCACCGGGTTTGGCTTCGGCGCCACGACCGGCACGACTGCGGCCCCCGCCGCCGGGTCGTCGGGTCTCGGCTTTGGCCTCGGCAGCTCTACCGGCGCTACGACCGGCGCCGCTCCGGCCACCACGAGCACTGGTGGCGGCGGTGGTGGCTTTGGCTTCGGTACCACTGGCACCACCGGCACCGCCGCTGCCGCCGCTCCCACCGCCGGGACTGGCTTTGGATTTGGCAACACTTCCACCACGGCCGCCGCTCCGGCCGCCGGGGCTGGCACTGGCTTCGGCTTCGGCACTGGCACTGGTGCTGGTGCCACGACGGCCACTGCCACTGGCACCGGTCCGGCTGCCGCCACCGGCACCGGCTTCGGCTTCGGCACCGGTGCTGCCACCACGAACACCGCTCCTGCGGCTGGCACTGGTGGTGGGTTTGGCTTCGGCACCGGCACCGGCACCCCCGCTGCCAATGCGGCCCCCGCAGCCGCCGGCACCAGCGGCGGATTTGGCTTTGGCACTGGGACCACTGCTGCGGCGGCTCCGGCTGCTGGTGGTGCTGCTGGCTTCGGGTTCAACACTGGCGGGGCCGCCGCGCCGGCTGCCGGCACTGGCACCAGCTTCAACTTCGGCACCTTCAAGTGAATCATGTGTCCTGGTCCATCTTCCTGGCGCTCCCTCCCCCCCCCCCCCGCGTACTCTCCTGCCTTCTTCCTTCTTTTATTTTTCACCTCCTCCCACCCTGTGCGAGGCTGGCGGGGGGGGATGGGTGGAGTGGGGGGGGGGGGGTGGACGCTCCAGCGCGACGTCTCCCGCCGTCATGGCCTCTCTCTCTGTCTCTGTCTCTATCTCTCCCTCTTGTTTACTATACTTCCTTCTTTCTCCACGTAAGATCGGCTCGCCTGTCGGATGTGTCTCCCACCCGCCCGCCCACGCACACACGCGCTGAGGACCGTCCTCCGGGGCAAGAGCAATCCAGGGATGCACTCTGTGCCTGTCGGGGCGGAGTGAATCTGAATATCGAGTATGACTTTTGCGTTGGTAGCATCTATCCTAAACCCGAGTATGATCATGTGCCGAACCTCGGCACACCCTCTAAACGCCGGATGTGTTGGGAACGCGCGTCCGGCGACCTTTTTTGCATCCCCCTTCTCCCTGCGCACGCTGGTCGTGTTCACGATGGAGCTGTTCCGGGCGCCGTTCCCCCCGCCCTGCCTCCCGACCGGGGGGGGGGGGGGGGCGGGGACGCGAGCATGGATGCGCACCCACGGGTCAGATCAAGGAGAAAAGTCCCCGACCAGAACGCCCCTCACCAGTAGGCGCCGATACAAGCACTCCTCCAAGCACTCGTCCTGCCCTCCCTCTCGATGTTCGCCTCCTCCTCTCTCCCTCCCTCCCTCCTCTTTCTTCCTCCCTCTTCTTTCTTCCCCCCTCCTCTTTCTTCCCCCCTCCTCTTTCTTCCTGCCTCCTCTTTCTTCCTGCCTCCTCTTTTTCTCCCTTACACCGACATCCACACGCATCCACACGCATCCATCCCACCAATCTCCCTCCTTGCTTCCCTCTCTCCCCTTGCCAATATGCCTCCTTCATTTTGTACGCCTTCGGTGCGCCGCTAACCACTGCTCCTGCCTTCTGTCGCTCCACTTGCGCCAGTGCTTGCGACCATGCTCTCTTGTCTTTCCGCCCTCCGTCCGCTGGCTCGCCAGGCGGCCAGCATGCGCGGCCCCGTGCCTGCCGCCATGCGCCTTGGCGTTGCTCCGCGTGCCTCGGTCGCCACCGGCCTGCGGCATTACTCCATCAAGGAGAACTTCGGCTACACCATGTCGGTGGAGGACTCCCAGGCGGCGGTGAACGTCAACATCCCGACCCTGGAGGAGGTCCCTCTGCCGAAGCTGGATCCCCACCGCCTGCGCATGCTCGGCCGCACGACCAAGGTCTCCGTCATGTCCCCGGCCCATCAGAACCTGCGGGAGCGCATCCAGAAGGAGCTCCAGCCTGGTGGTGCGCTGGCTCGCGGTGAGCCGGACTTCTCCCTGGAGCAGGTGGCCAACCTGCGTCGGGTGCGTGGGTCGCCTAAGAAGCACGCCGAGGTGGCGCGCCTGGTCAGCGGCATGTTCGTGCATGAGGCTGTCCGGCAGCTGATGTTCACCAAGCGCCGGGTTGCGCGCAAGTACCTTTCGGCGGTGCGCGGCGCCGCCGACTCGGCCATCAAGAAGGGCATGCACCCGGAGCTGCTCTACCTCCGTACGTGTGGCCCCTCTTGTCCTGCTGCTCTCCTTTCTACCTGCGCTGCTGCCTGCCGGTCTGTCTGCTTGCATGGGCGGCCCCCTTTGCCGAATAACCCACTGACACTTGTTACAAACACATGCACGCACATGCTCAACCGCAGACGTCTTTAATGTCACTCAGGCCACCTCGATCAAGCGCATGCAGACGCACGCGCGGTCTCGGTTTGGTGCCCTCACCCACCGGTATTCGCACCTGCGCATTGTCATTAGGCAGAAGCGCAAGGAGACCCGCGAGGATATCCATGCCCGGGTTATTGAGCGCGCGCGCACTCGCGACTACTCTCGTCCTCGCATCTTCAACGACTTCTACCGCCGCATCGACTAAAGCGCGTGCGCACGCGCGAGGCATAGGCGTGGGTCCGGACTGTTTGCGGCACATTGGTGCCCTTGGCTCTGTCCACCTGTCGATGCGCACACACGTGCATCCCCACGCGCTCACCTGCACGCACGCACGCACGCACACACACACACACACATGACCGGTCCTTCCCCCTTCACTGTGCCCACCTCTCAGATTAGACGCCCCAGGTGCTGCGCCGCGGTCGGATGGTCCCTATGTGAATGTATGTGTGTGTATTTGTGGCTGCCCACGCGTGCAAGTGGGTCATCCCCTATCTGTCTCTCTCCCTTTCTCTCTCTCTCTCTATCTATCTTTCTCCCTCTCTTTCCCTCCCAGGCCTCCCACGGGCAGGGTCCGTACATGTCCCAGTCGGATGGGCTGGTCAAAAACGAACGAAAATTAAACAATCAAATGTCCTTGCACATTTCCCACCTGGTGTCCATCACTTTATTCTTCTTCTTCTTTTTCTTCTTCGCTCGTTCAGCAGTTCGGCCAATGCTCATTTCATGGCAAAAGGGGTGGTGTGTGGTGGGCGGATGCTGGAGAGGGGGGGGGGGGGGAACACAGAAGAGGAGGGGGCAAGAGTGGCTACTTGACGAGGAACAACGCGTCAAACGAGGAAAGGAGCTTCTCGATGTCATGGGAGGCCGGCGCCGGCACCGGTGACACCCCTGGCGTTCCGGGGGCGGGGGGATAGTACATCGACCGGGCGATATTGTACATAATTGTTTCCAGTTGAGTTTGGTCATACTGGCGCCGATTGTACTTGGCGATGGCATCGATGAGGGCCGAAAACTGCGCACGCAAATGCGCCAGTGGGCGTCAGAATCGGCAGGCTAAAGGGGGGAGAGAGAGAGAGAGAGAGAGAGACGGAGGGAGGGAGGGAGGGGGAGGCATGGGGGATAAAAGGAAGGGGAGAAGAAAAAACGCGAGGTGGCATACGTGTGCCAGACATGTCTGAGGTACCTTCTCGGGTGGGAGGACTGACTTGGCCAAGGTGAAAAACTCCCGACCATCAACGACAGCAGGAGACCCAAGACTGGGCCCTGCCCCAGGCGCAGATCCGACGCTGGGGGCCGTGGCCGGCGCCTGAACCCCCGACGGGGCCTCGGTGCTGAGATGTGTCCCCAGATCCCGGACGCCAAGATGTGAGAGACCCGGCGCTGTCGGGCCGGACACCGGGCGGGGGCCTGGAGGGCTGACTCGAGACCCGGGGGAATTCCAGCTGCTTGTCCTTGGAGGGGTGCCGCTGGTGGGCCCCTTTGCCGCTCCGCCGGGGGGATGGACCGATGCGAAGGAGTCCACCGATCCGGGAGCAGGCTCGGACGAGGCCATGGCGGCCTTGCTCGCGGCTGCGGCATTTTGCTGCATCCACAATGCAAACAGACGGGGGGGGGGGGGGGGGGGGGGGGGGGGGGGGGGGACGCCATCCGGCGCCACGGGAGCGGGAGAAGGGGCGGCGCATGCTTTCGGTGCGGCTGTGCGCGCGGGCGCCGAGAACACGGGGAGAGGCGCGGAAGGATGGTAGGGCCTCTCTCACTCTGGGCCGCGGCGCATGGGGGGGGGGAGGAGGAGGAGAGAGATGTCAGGAGGGCGGAGTCCAGAGCCCTGGTCAGGGGGCTGTGGGCCAAAGGCGAAGAGAGAAAGAAAGAAAGAAGGAAAGAAAGAGAGAGAGAGAGAGAGAGAGAGAGACCGTACGCCCTCCAGTTCGTCGAAACTATCGATGATGTGCTTGCGGAAGGAGTAAAGGCGACGGATTTCCAAATGCAGGCGCGCATTGCGATCGGTGGCCTGGCGGTATTCCTCGCCAAGACGAACGTGTCGAGCGTTCAGGTCCTCCAGCTCGGCGGTCTTGCGATCCAGCTCATGGCGCAGGCGTGCGAGCTCCTGGTCGCGCATCGATGACTACACAGGGTGGGGCCGGCAAGGGGGTGAGTGTGGTCTTCGGGCAAGAGGGCAACCAGGATGCGAGGCACATACCCGCAAGTTAAATGCATCACGAATGAGCTTCAGTCCAGAGAGGAAGTCAAGGTCGGCCTTGTCGCCGGAGGGCAGCCCGGCGGCCAGGATGGTATCGGTCAAGTCGGCTGCGCCGGCAATGCGTGAGGGCAACCAATCGGTCGCGCCGGGTGATGCCCTGGGGAGTGCACCCCCCTCGGAGCCCAGCAGCGACCCCAAATCCCCGGCATGAGAAAAGTCCGCCCCGGGTCGGAGGTCTTCGGCGAATGTGCTGGTCGAGGTGCCAGTCACTGGAGGCAGATCCGGCGAATCGAATGCCAGAGCCCCGGAACCGGGCGACAACCCCAGGGAGTCGGTGCTGGATCCCGGCCCGGGGTGCGACCGATGGTGCGAATGGTGATGATGGTGATGCGAGTGGTGGGCGGAGCCCACTTGGTGGCTGCCCGCTGCATGGTGCGGATACTGGTGTCCACGGGTGGGCGAGCCCTCTGCCGGGAGGAAGCCGCCCGATCCGGCGATCGTGGCGGGAAGGACCATGAGTGACGGCCTACAAGCGAGTCGGCAGGGGAAATGTACGCCGGGCGGAGAGGGGGAAGGGAGGAGGAAGAGGCCCGAGCAGGGAGGGAGGGAGGGAGGAGGGGAAGAGGGAGAATGAGGGCCCTTGTCTGTGGGGCCCTGCGAGCCGATGTTACTTTTGAGTACCCAGTGTGCCCCGACCGATCTTCAGCCGCTCCGGTCTCTGGTCGGGGGGGAAAAGGCAGGGCAGAAAGAGGCACGATCGCCGATCCGTCTTCCTTCCCCCGGGGCGTGTAACTGCCCACAGTCGGGCCAGCATGCCGCCCCGCACCCACAACAGTCGGGCTGTTTGGGTGCGTCGCGCCAGCGGACACTCGCCATATCTCGGTCCCCAGTTTTTCTCGGACTCGGCCGAATCGATGGTCCCGTCCGGCCGCCCCGCCCCGCCCCACCTCCCTCCTGGACCCCCGAGAGGGGGGGGGACGGCGGAGGGCGAGACGAGGATAGGAAGGGGACCGGCGGAAAGAGACAACTCGCTTGCAAGGCCGCCCCCGTGAATGGCCATGTCCGTGCGGGGGCGGCACATTGGTGGGCGCGGGAAGCTTTCCCGAAAAATGCGCTGGGTGTCATTGATCCCCTCGCGTGATCTATTGCTCCGTCTTGTCATTTCCAGAGTCGCATGATGACACCGTTGGCTTCTACTCCATCCACGCACCGAGCTCGGAGGGCGGGCATAAGGTTGGCAGCTGAAATGCATCCCACAGCCAACCAGCCTCGCAAGCATACCGGGCCCCCGGCAGGCGGGCGCCCCCTCCTCTCTCTCTCTCTATCCTCTGCCCGGGGCCCCCTCCTCTTCTTGCCTTGGGCCAGGGGACCTCGGGGGGAGGGGGCGAGTTCAGCCGAGGAGGAGAAAGGGGCGGGGGGCGCAACGATCGCGGCCGAAGAAAAGGCTGCGTTATTCCGTCTGTCCCGCCAAGACCATCCAGTAATGGCTCCCCCCCCCCCCCCTTCTCCCGTGCTTCTCCTGTCCGCGCAGCCCTTTATTGTGCCCCCGCTCGCCTTCCGCCTCCCACCACCACCACCACCTACCCACCCACCGAACACCAGCCCCCATCTTCCTGACTTGCCTCCTCAGCCATTTCCTTGCCCCACCTTCCGCCATGTCCCAGCCTGAGACCGTTAGTGCCACCGCCGCGGCCCGTGTGGCCGACCAGACTATTGTCCCCAGCACTGAGGGGCTGGTGACCATCTGGAACCGCTGCATCTACCGGCTAGCTACGCAGCCACTGTACGGCATGGCCTTCGGCTTTGCTGCGTCCCTGGCCTTCTTCCGCAGTGCGCCCATCTCCCTCTCCTTTCCCCTCTTCTTTCCTCCACACACACACACACACACACACACACACACACCACCGACAATGCATGCCCCTCCTCAGGCACTGACCCGCGTCCTGGCAACCAAGGCTCTCGCGCCCCGGTCATCTTTGGCACCGGTGTCGGGCTCGGCCATGCGATCCACGCCTGCACGGATGATTTGCGTTTCGTGGCCACGCGCCCGGTGGCCGAGGTGGCCGCGCAGAATGCCGCCGAGACTGCTCGTGAGGTCCTCATCCCACAGGCGCGCGCGACTTTTGCCTTCCTCCGGGAGCAGCTCGATAAGATGCAGGCCCAGGCGGCCGCACGCTCGGCCGCTGCTGCTGAGGCCGCCACCGCCGCTGCCGCTCCCACTGAGGTCCCCTCTGTGGCCGCCGCCATCAACGCCACCGAGCAGGCCACCGAGCCGGTGGTCGCCCTGTTCACCGAGTCGGCCAACTCGGAGGCCGTCCCAGTTGAGGAGGCTGTCAGCACCTATGAGGTTGTGGTTGAGGCCCCGGCCGATGCTGCCTCGGACAGCGCGTAAGCTAGACTGGAAAGTGCTTGTGCGCGGCCCCTTCATTTGCCTTCTTTCCGGCCCCACAAACACACACACACACGCACGTACGCGCGCGCGCGCGCGCGCGCGCGCACATACATCCGCAGACACACAGACAGATGCCTGTCCCTGCGAACAATGGTCCCCTTTCACAAAATGCACACCCTTGCAACTTGAGTTTATCCTTGCATGTGCCCCCACATGTGTATGAGTGCCAGCGTGTTTGTCTACGTGCATGTGTTGGAGTTTATCTTTATTGGGGCGCGGCATACGGAAACAAGTAGCGAGCCGCGCATTTGGAATTTCGGGACAAATAGGCAGAGTAACAAGTACAAGGGAGGGGAAGAGGTGTCCTCCTTTCCTCCCCGGGAACATCCTTCTTCAAGGAAAGAACACCAGCACAAGAGGGCAGGCAGAGGAAAGGGACAGCAGCAGAGAAGGAAAGAAGACGGACATTTGGGTGCTCGTGCAATGAGAGCCCCCTCGGTGGCGGAGAGTAACACGCATGCGGATGGCCGTGTGGTGGCCCCCATTTGCCCTTGCGCCGCCATCGCCGCTGCTCAAAGAGAGAGGGAATAGGGGCAGGAGTAAGAATAGGGGTGTGCACACGTGTAGACTGGGGAAAGAGGGAAAGAGATAAAGAGAGAGGGAGAGAGAGAGAGAGAGAGGCAGGGAGGAAGAGTAAGGCTGGAGGTGGTGCATGTGTGTGTGTGTGTCTGCATGCGCAAATATGCACGAGGACACGCACATACACACGACCATGGAGGCTCGCGGAGGATGAGGAGACGGGGGGAGGGGGGGAGGGGGGAAGCACAGGAGCCCATACGAGTCCAAGAATATGGCGACGATGTCGTAAACCGCCAATCCGGCATGCAATGCATGTGGCGCGGGGGTGCGCGTGTGTGCGTGTGTGTGCGCTCGCACGCCAGAGGCTGCGCAGGTGCTCCTCTTCCTAGTGACAATCGATAATACATGTGTATGTACATGTGCGTGTGTGTGCACGCGTGGAGGCCCTTTGATTGGGCCCGTATGCGCGAGCGCAGCTCGCACACAGCGCCATACGCACGCAAAGGCACATGCGATGACTGACTACGACAGGTCGAGCTCCTTGGCGGCGGCCGCGGAGGAGCTCAAGGAGGAGGGGCTCGGCGGGTCGGACTCGAAGTCCGAGGAATCGGAGTCGGTGGCCATGTAGATCTGGGTGGCGGGAAGAGTGCCCGGAGTGGTCGGGTTCGAAGACCCGACGCCAGTCGCATGAAGGCGATAGAAGCTGTCGCGCTGCTCGTTGTACTGGGCGAGGGCAACCACGCCATTGGGGTCAGTCAGGCAGGCGGCCACACCGGTGGGAGGCTGGTCACGGACAACCGGCAGGGTAGCGCGGGAGGCCACATGGGCCACGAAGTCCTCCGGCGAAGAACCGATGGCAGACTTGTCCCCAAGGGTGATGATGATGCAGGTCATGTTGTCGCAACCGAGCCCGGACTGCCCGGTGCTCGGGGCCAGGCAGCGGGTGAGCAAGCGCTCGGCCACGGCCGAGGGAGCCAGGCCGAAGGCCAGGTGCTCGCGCACGAAGTCCGCCGCCTCGTCGCAGGTGACCATGTCCCAAATACCGTCGCAGGCGACGATGAGGAACTCGTCGGTTTCGCGATTGCGGTCAACGGTGACAATGTCCGGCGCGGCGGTGATCGGCTGGTGAACCATCGACAGGCGGGGATGCTGCTTGAAGGAGAAGTCGCCCAGAGCGCGACTGAGGGCGAGGCTGCCGTTGACACGGCCGTTGTGGATGAAGCCGCCGGCCTCCTGGATGCGCTCGACCTCGCCTGTGTTGTGAACCGAGGGCAGGGGGAGAAGGGGGGGTTAGTTTGGAAACCCGCGCACGCGCGCGAAAAAAAGAGAGAGAGAGAGAGAGAGAGAGAGAGGAGGGAGGGAGAGAGAGAGAGAGAGCACAAAAGGAAGGCCGGTAGGGCATGGGGCCACGCACCAGGGAGAGTGGGCTTATGGTCAATGCTCAGGGGGATGGCCAGACCGGAGCGGCAAAGGACAGCACGGGCATCGCCCGCGTTGGCGCAATAAATCTTGTCATTGGTGATGCCGACGGCGATGGCCGCACATCCGGACATGTTGTTGCTTGCTGTGGGGAGAACGAGCATCAGGAGCCATTCGGGATGGATAAGTGAGTGAATGCGGCATAGGCAAATGGGAGAAGGGTTTGCGAAAGGTGGATGAGAATGTGGCGACGGAAAGAGGGAAGGGGAGAGAGAGAGAGAGAGAGAGAGAAGGAGGAAGACGAGGGAGTTGACAGAGAAACGACAGGGGAGGACGTACCCTCGAAGAAGGCAGAGTCACAGTCCAGGAAGGCGTCATAGAGAGCCTGGCCGTAGTCGCCGGAGGAATAGTGCTTGGAAGCGAGCACGCAGCCGGCCAGGTGCTTGGCGGCAAAGTTGGCACACTCCGACCCACCATGGCCGTCCATGACAGCGAAGAGGGACAGCTCCGTTTCGCCAGTGAAGGGGACCGCGGCGGAAAGGTGGTGCGCGTATGCCTTGCTCATCGTCGGGCCGAAGGTCAGCACGCGCTCCTGGTACTGCTGCAGGTCCTGAGCAGTGCGAGTCTGCTGCTCGCCCGGCGAGGGCCGGAGCCCGGAGGTCGAGAGGTTGGGCGGGGGGATCTTGCGCGCATCGTCATGCTGCAGCGAGGAGGTGACGCCAGCGCGCAGAGAATACTGCATCAGGTGGGCATCCTCCATGGTGACGCGCCAGCCCTGCATGCTGGAAGACCCGGCCATCATCCCGGCGTCCGGGTAGTACGCCAGGTGGGTAACCTTGTTGGTATTGGGAGTGGAGAGTAGCTGGCCCATCGCGGGTGGGGGCAGGAGGGGGGGGGAGGGTAAGGAGGGGAGAAGGGAAAGGGGAGGGGGAAGGGGCGACGTCGGGGAAAGCGAACGTTGCGGTAGCCAGAGGACGCGGACAGCGGCGGCCGGGTCAGCACGGCCCGCTTTGATTCTGAGAGGGAGCCTCTCCTTGCTTGGCAGTGGCCGGCGGTTATGTGCCATTGTCCCCCCCCCCCCCCCCCCCGGACACCCATACACGCCGTTCGGCAGTCCTTGCCGTCACGGAAGGGCGTGGGGGGGGGGGGGGTGCAAACGGGCGCGCCCGGTTCTGGCCCCCGTCCCGCCCCCCACGAGCGCCCCTCGCGTTTCCCGCTCGCCCGGGAAGGGGGAGACGGGGGCAGGGAAGGGGAGCTGTTGTTGTTTGGGGCCGGGGGGTTGTGCCTGGTCGATCCCACGGTGGCGGCCCCGAACAGGACACCGTCCATGTGTGCGTGCTTGCGCGGGCTCAGCGGGAGGAATGCACTTGGATGGCCTGTTGTCCCGGCCGAGCGGCTTGGCGCGCGGGACGCTGCCGGGGTGCGCGCGGGGCCGGGGGAATGCGGGCGTCCTCGGGGATGCTCGCTGTTCCTCCCCCGTCCGGAGCCTCTGCAGAGGGGAGCCTGTTGATTGAAAGGCCTTCGCACGAGCGGGCGGAGGGGGGGGGGGACGACCCCCGTGGGGGATACCGAGAAGGAATGGGGGACAGGCCGGCAGGCGCCCGAGCGCCAATACATTGGTCTCTAGCCCTGACCTGGCGCAGGACCGTGAGTGGGCGGCGGGGGCCAGGGGACGATCGGCCGGACGGGTACACGGTCGAGGCTCACTCGGCCCTGGACCACACGGACCCCGAAGGACGGAGGTCCGGAAAGACAAACAGACACACACGGGAAGGGCAGCCATTCCCCCTCCCCCCCCCCCCCCCCGCAGTCGGACGGGGGCCGGTCGAGAGCGCGGGTATTCGTCACCGCCGGCCGGGACGCATCTTTCCAGCCCTGTGGGGATCAGCTGCCGTGTACGTGAGCCCGGGGGAGGGGGGGGGCGGGTGTTTTAAATCGGCCTGATCGGCCTCCCTCGAAGAAGAAGGCCCCAGGACCCAGAGGAGCCAGGGGGGGACATGCGTTCAGCCGGCGCCGGAGGCCAGCCTTTGGGGGCACGGTGAACAGCTCCTCCCGGAGGGCAAGCGCGCATGCACCCGTGCCCGCATGAAGGGCGGGCGCCTGCGCGGGTACGCGGAAACAAAGCACCCGCCTCGAATACATGCCTCGAACCACGGCCTCTCCGTTAGGCAGGCTTTTTCCGGTTCCCGCCTGTCTGCACTCCTGAAAAGTCCTCCCGGCTCTCTTCCTCAACCACAGGGCGTGTGCTCGGGGGGGGGGGGGGGGCGCCTGTTTGCGGGTGCGCGCAGAAAGCAGGGGGGACGACCGGTAACGGCACGGGCTGGGGCGTCGGCAGCCGCAGGCCGATGTGCGCCTTTCCCACAGCCATCACCGTCCAGGGGCCCGGCTCATAAATAGAGAAACGTGGCGGGGCCCGGGGCTCCGCGCATGGGATGCACCTGGCCAAGACCCAGAAGCAGGACAATCGGCGGCCCGTTTGAGCAAGGAAAGTCCTCTCCGCCCTCTGGCCCCTCTGTGCGCGCAGCAGGAAGCGCGTCCGCTTATGCATCGGGCGTGGATCCCCCCTACCACAGGAACAGAGGCCCCGGCAGGGGGGGGGGGTCATTCGGGCTGCCCCGGAAGCCCCACGCCTCGAGCCTGTGGATGGGGGTGGACGGCAAGCGGCACTTCCCCACATACACAAAGAGAGAGAGCGAGAGAGCGCGCGCGCGAGCGAGCAAGCTTGACGAAGAGAGGCGTGGCGAGCGGGAATCGCCCTTGGATCCGACCATGACCACCTCAATGCCCTTTCCCTCGATCGGGAAAAGGCCCCACCTGCGCATATATGTCTCGGGCCCCGTCGGCCCACATGCTGCGGGCGAAAACAGCATGGACTCGCAAGGAAGGGGTGGGCACACTGTGAACCCAACAACAGCAAGGGGGGACAGCTCCTCCATGCCTGGGAACTCCGGCCGGGGCCGTCTCGGACCGGGGACGGTCAGAGGGCGTCCTACCGAAAGGTCCAGGTCAATGCGATGTGGCTGCAGTTAACAGGATGCCCATGCAGCCTGGCGCACGGATGAGCCACAGAGCCACCAGCACCGAGGAGCGGCACCGAAATAGAGAACTCGAGGCCCCCCGCCGGCACCTTCTCGCCGATCCTCGCGAAGCGGGGGGGGGGGGGGGGCAGCGCCATCGTGAGCAGTGACAGTGCATGGTCTCCATCGGCGGCACACGGTCGCCCCTGCGGTCCGGAGAAAGGCGGCCGCGACATCCATGAAGGCTCATTAAATAATGCGCCGTGCCCGGCCGGGAAGCGCCCCCTTGACGGCGCCCGCCTTGATGCGGGGGGGGGGGGGGGCGGACGGACCGAAAGAGCCGCACAAAAGGAATGCTCCGCGCTGGTTCGCCATGATATTACCACCTTTCGGGGCCGGGGGATCCGGGCTCGGGTCAGTAGTCCCCCTCTCCCCGGCCCCGAGCAAGCCCGAGAGAGGAGCGTGCACTGATGCCCATCATTCTCCCCCCCCCCCCCCCCCTCCCACCACCACAGCCGGTGGGACGTTGCTCGCCCCGAAGGTGTATACGCCCCCCCCGGAGGCGCCGCCCGAAAACCATCCCCCAACCCCCCAGCCCCCCCCCCCCCCCCGGCGCCGGGCGGTAACCGCCGGGAAGAACGTGAAGGTGTGACACAGAGCGCCACTTTCATGGGCTGACCAATATCACGTGTGATACGGGCGTTATTTAGATGCCCAATCAGCGTACAGTGTAGGGAAATTCAAATATCGTTTCTTCCCCCGCCCTGCGCCCGCGCAAGTGCGGCCGGGGGAATACCGCAGTGACTCGATCTCCTGCCAGGCGGGCGAGGATGAACCATGCATCGACTTCAAATGAGTGGGTCGCCCTTCGTTGTTGCCCCCTCCCCCCCCCCCCCCCCCCACCATCATTCTCACAGTCCCCCTCCAGTATGGCACGTCTCGTGCAAGTATGCGAGCCGGGGCGCATGCACGTACAGGCACTTTCGATGGTGGCACACTTGCAAGCGTGGAGGCCTGTTGGGCCCTGGCCTTACCTGTGCGTCTACTGGCTTCACCCACCCGGGCTGCCCGTCCAACCTGTCCGGCCCTCCAGCCCTCCTTTCTTCCATCCACGAATTCACATCGAGCCATGTCTGTGTCCCGGTGCTTCGTCCTGTGGCTGTCCGCGCCCGCGCCCGCGCCCGCAATATGGCACCACCCTCTCCCGCGCTTGCCCTGCTCAGCTCACGCATGACAATATACACTGGGACTCGCCTCTAGCCCAACGATCTCGATCAGGTGACTGCGCTTCGCTGCCCTCTCCTCTCATGCATTGTCCCCCCCCCCCCCCCCCGCACCCACCCACCCACCCCCCCACCCCTACCCACAACCCCCATCCCCCCGCTCCCAGCGTGTACCCGCACCGAACAAGACTCGTAGCTGCTCCCAGGGAGATAGGGGCTTGTGCCCTGTGTCGGTGTGCCAAGGTGCTTGGTAAAGCAGTGTAAGCAGGGCAGTCCGCCGTGTGGCAGATCTTCCAAGAGACGGCGGGTCGCCCCCATGCAAAGCGGTGCATTTCGCCAGATACCTCCTCCCTCCTCCTGCTCCTCCCCCGCCCCGTTCGAGCCTCCGCCTCCCCCGCCCCTCCCCCTCCGCGCTTGCGCGCGCGTCCACTCCAGCCACGATG